TTGTAGCCTTCCTCTTAGCTCTACTGCTTTTGTGGCATTCTTATGAGCTATACTGCTGCTGTGGCCCTCTTCTGAGATATACTGCTGTGGCCTTCTTCTGAGCTATACTACTGCCGTGGCTCTCTTCTGAGCTATACTGCCGCTGAGGCCTTCTTCTCAGCTACACTGCTGCTGTGACCTTCTTCTGAGCTATACTGATGAGTGTAGCTTAGACGAAGGCCACAACATGTGTGCCGAAACGTCAGCACGACCGTCTTTGACGCGCCTCATCCCGGACAGCCAAGTATCAGAAGGAAATGATGCCATCAACTGTTTGGAGTTGTAGAGAAGTGATTTGTTCTATAAGTATTTTGCTGTTTGGGAGTCGCCGCGTCCTAGGCACAGGTGTCAACGTTTCGGCCACCGTGCTGTGACCTTCATCTGGGTGAAATGAGGGATGGTCGCAAAATGGCGGCCGAAACGTAGGCACCTGTGCCTAGAACTCGTCGTCTCCCAGATGGGTAAGTAGTTACTGACTCTGCTCGCAGAAGCATACACTCTGAATTGTTCTTTGAAAATAAATGGTTACTGTCTGTATTGTTTAAGAAATCCTTTACGAATAAAAATTAACTGGTATAATTTTAATTTTAAAACGATCCTAAAAAGGACTCATAACAATATTTATATGGGTTGACATGTTGAAATTGAGAAAAAGGATTATTTGAATAAAAAGTTGACATTAACAGTGAATGTGAATTGTATTGATTGGTGTCGCTATGTAAATAAGTTTAAACATTTCAAAATTGATATTAATTTTAATAATTTTTACTTTGATGATGTAAGCAAAATGTTGAACAACTTGTCTATTTACATGTATTGTATCTGAGAATTTCGGTAGAGTTATACTAATAGAGTATTTGCAGAGCATGAAGCACATTAGCGTATAGTAGTTTTAAGCTTCTGAGCATGCGCCAACTCAAATTCGGAGGGATGTCGGAGTCCTCTTTTCGCCACATGCAACCATGCGATGAAATGCTAAGCAATCAATTTATCTATAAGTAATTTGTTCCCAACTGTAGCAGCAGAGATTACAGCTAAATTCATATTCCTATAATGCAACTGGTTGGCGACGTTTATCATTACGCATAATTATGTTTGTGTTATATTAGTTACATTTTTTTTAAATTATATAATCTCTATTATTTCCTTCGTCCCCGAGGTATTGTGAAGGTTGAGTAAGTCAAGCAAGCTTACATACTTTTTTTCGTATTATTACTTATGATTTGCTAATATGTTGCCAATAAAGGTTGTTTTGTTTTGATAGAACGTCTCTATATACAATAAAAAAAATTAAAAGCCGAGCGAGTCGCTATAAACGTACTGCTATTGGACCATCAACTGGCGGAACAATTCAGTAGTTTTTGCGGCGCGCCATTCCGTTCCGCAGTTTGAGTGACGGCACGGGCGGCAATCGCCCCAACACGTTTGTGCAGGACGTCAGCTTGCGCGCCAGTCAGGGCCATCGCACGATTTGGAACTCAAGATCTGCCCAGGCAGAAGCATGGCATATCGCCGGCCGCGACGCGTGCTAGGGATGTACAATGTTGCGAATCAGGGAAAAGCTACAGAAGCTCGATTGTAGAGGCTCTGTCGGATTCTACTAAATTCAATATCTTCTTTTTATTAGCCAACTGCACATCCCATTAATGGTGAGGTCCTCCTGCTTGAGCAGGGAATTATTAATACTTCTTTAATGAAGAGTTGGGATGATGATGATGAGGGATGAAAGATCACAAGATCCATGCCCGAGGCGGGATTCAAATCCGTGATCCTTGAATCCGAGATCGCCACAACACTACTGCCGTAGCGATCACGACTACCCGGATTGGCAATCCTTTATCTAAGAGTACATAAATTAAAAATGCTGCTGTTAATACGAAGAACCGATGTCATTTATTTTTAAAAATAAAATGAGGAAAGGGTAAAAATAAAATAAAAATGCGACCGATTGGGGAGGACAGCTCCCCTGGGAACTTCCTCCTCCTGAGTCAGAGGATAGGTAGATGCCCGGCTGCACACACGAACGCGCAATTTCTAGGAACACAGTGGATCTGAACTGGATGGATTCCAAGAACACAATGTAACTAAAATTTTATAACAAATGGGAGAGGCACGAAATGTGATTTTATGTACCGCGCCAACCAGCAAATAAATCGCAACTATGATGCTGTTCAAAGAGTTCGAAGGGGAGAATGTACTAACAGTAAAACAGGAAGTTAAATTAACTAGGGTTCTTCTGGAGAGTTGCAGGACTAATTACGTGAAAATCAAAACAACTTACTACGTAAGACAATTTATTAGTTTATGGAAGTTAACTTTTATGTATTTTACAATGATTTAAGTATGATACCAGTGCAGCTAGTTATTTCATCCAAGCACGCGACTAAAATTTACATAAAATGATACTTGGCTTGATCGCTACCCTAGAGAGTGGGAATTACAAGGCACTCAAAGAACACATTGATTATGTTCGTGTAAATCAATAATACTTAAATTTTATTATATTACAAAAATATTAAAAACGTTTTACTATGCCACAAAATATAGTGGCATTTCTGCTAATACATTATAAAGAATGCTATCGTTATTGCTTATAAATTATCCGATGAAAATTAGCCAGCATTGGATTATCATTCAATCCACTTTCTTTATTACGCTTTAAGAAATAAGAAGAATGAATAAACAATCAAGGTATCGTTACCTATTGTAACAGAAGAAGTTAAAAATAATTTTTATCATAATTCAAAGGGTTTGCAAGAATAATACACACTAGGTGGGTTCCCAAACATGTTTATTATTTTATGTGACAGCACGAATAACAAATGTATTTCAATTCTTCTTTCGATACCTCAAGAAGTAGACGTCATTTATGTTCCACTTGCCAAACTTATTAATGCAATACATTATCTTGCATGAAAGCGTCGGCATTTATTCCAGAATGGATGTGTGATGTAGGTTGACGCGTAATTTGCAAGGAATTTTCCTGCAAGATATAACTACATTTCATTCAACTTCCCTCTCCCTACTTTGTATTTACGTCGCTATCTTTCCTTTATAGACTATAACTTGAATGCTAAACATTTATTTTACTGACTTCCCGTTCAACCTGATGAATGAACTTGGAGGTAAACAGGATGTTGATGGTCTTCCAGACGCTGTTTGTAGGGTTGCCTATATAGGCCCCTGCGATTCTATTGATGTCTCCTACGTACTGACTCTTAAGTGATGCTTTTCTTTCGTAATATTACATGAAGTTATTGGTATTAGTAACTGAATTTTGATACATTTATTTTAATTATGTTATATTTATTATATTAGTTTTATTTCTTTCAGAAATTATAAAGATAATTCAACACATATTCGTACATCTTACAAAGCCTACAATAAGTATAAGTATTCCAAAACTATTTGTGTAAAGCGGCTATTCGAATGTATTACTCTTAGAGAAGGTTAATTTTGAAAATAAGGAGCTCGAAATTCCCTCGCGAGTCACATTCTATATTGCTATTTTACATGTCCAAATAGAAAGTAATTATTCGAATTATTTTAGCATTGAATCCTCCCGTTCAATTTTTATGACCAAAAATGAATCGTATGAGACCGTCAAATCCTGTCAACCTAAACAGTCTATAGTTGTTCCAAGAGCGCTGAATTTAAACTGTTTCTAGGCATCATGTATGCCGAAAGTAACCCTTGCAAATAAGGTTTCCAAAATCTCAAAACAAAAGTGTTAAGTCAGAATAGAACTATTTTTGATAATCTGTTGAGTAATGTGTTTCTTTCATCGCATAGAACGTAAATATTCAATTTCCAAACTGCCAGAATTGATTTTTTCGTGTGATCTGCAGTACTTTATTTTACGTTGAAATAACTGACTATCTATCTCAAAAGTTATTTGAACATTCCAAAGCGATACATCTCAGTATCGTCATTTCTGCCTACCCGTGAGTGAGACTCATTTATTATGGGAATATTTTGCAGATTACTTCGAAGATAGTATTACACGCAACCCTCTGGGAAGTAATTATTCGAACTCGCCTCTACAAGCATTCCCTCTCAAAGTTTTGATCTGCAATGCGTTATTTTGCTTTGAATTTCAATACGCTCTCATCTGAAAAGTAATTATTCGAACATTAATCTCTGCAAACTATCTCAACATTGAAGTTTTTACTTGCACTACAATATTTCATTTTCAGCTTGTGTTTATACTAACTTAGATGGTAATTATGTGACCACTTGTGAATGTTATCGCAACACAACGCTTTTACATTTTTTTCATAATGCTATTCTATTCGTAATGCTATTCTATTTTATCGACGTAAGGCAACCAAAAAAAGAAAGAAAAACCGATCTGAATGGCCGACATTCGTTAAAGATTATATCAGTCCGTTAAGAATAATCGATAAAAATTAGTTGTAGTTAAACATGGTGTATGAGTGCTCATATTCTCAAAAACGTATATATTGTTTACGAAATTTCTATCATACAATGGTATTACGAAAAGTATCGGAGTATGGCCGATACCACAAATAACAAATCAGTTACAAATCTTAATCACGTCCGTTATTTGCTCTAGATCGGTATCATACGTGAGTAACGCTTTCACGCTTCAACGCATTTATATTGTTTTTCGTTATTCTGTAGTATATTGTGAACATAAATCAACAAAAAGAAGAACGAAAAACTGATGTTAATGTCCTGCTTTCATCAAATATTTTATCAGGCCGTTAAAAACAATTTAAAAAATAGTTGTAGTGAAAATGGATTATGTGTTTCTTATTTACATGATTTGTTGTTTTTTAATAGTGGCATTACGAAGAGTATTGAACATGGCCGATATCACAAATAACGGATCCGTTTCAAACCTGAACCGCGTCCGTTATTTGCTGCATATCGGCTTCAAGTGGTGAGTAGCTCTTTGCATCGCGTCTGTGTGTGCGCACGCGCAGGCGAACGTGGAGGGCCCGCAGTGCGACCGCTGCCGCCCGGGGACCTTCGGGCTGTCGGCCGACGACCCGGCCGGCTGCGCTCGCTGCGTGTGCTCGGGCGTCAGCGACTCCTGTGACTCGGCCGCCGTGCCGCTCGGAGAGGTAAGCACCCCACTCCCCACCCCACCCCACCTCACCCTCATTATAATGATAATTGATAGCGCTGCATGTACGAAATAAATTGTGTATGACGCCTGTCCGGCCACGGGGAGGGCCTGTGGGAAGGGAAGTTTACTACCAGTCACTGGAGGAACAGAGAGAAAAAGAGGTCCCTCTCTTCTTTTACATCACGCTGAGGAAGAAAACCTGAGAAGCGGGCGGCGAGAAATGCGTCTCACGAAGCCTCTAAGCGAAGAGCAAAAAAATCTTAAATGAACGTACCGGAGAAAATAAATGGATATTTGTGAAATAAGGACTAAGTTATCCTGTTTGGTTAAACCGGACATCTGTCGAGGCCTTGAATATTGAATGTCAGAGTCGCCTGCTACCCAGACGCTTATTTTTGTTGCTTACAAGTTTGAAGTATTCGAAGTCGTTTGGGAAGCGTTTCTCGTTTTGAGAAGCAAGCGTGAGACACGGATCCAATTTCAAATCATGGGATAACAGACCTTTTCAAGAGGTGCTTGCGTGACGACGAACTTGTTGTGGAATGTGTTCCAAAAGTGTCGAGATATCTTGGTAATTGATTTCTCCTATCGACGGTCATTTAAAGTAAAAGGCTTGTGGGGTGGAATCTTAAGTAGCTGTGACGTCATGTCCCTTCCCGCAGAGAAAGGATGGCATTAGCGCACATCAATTCTCTTCGTCTGTAGAAAATCGAAGTTCTCAGAACAAGTTCGGTGAGTGGATAATATTTGAAAAGGTGCTCAAGAGATCAGGTTGGATCACCACTTTTGCAAATGAATCTCTCAGAAGATTTCTGTTGATTGTGTGACAAATGCTGAGTTGGTAACTTTCTCACAAGCATATCTTTTATCCTTTCTTCTTAGGTTATAAATAGAATGTCCCATCGTTTCACTGGCATATGCATTAAAGCAAATGAAAATCAATTTAAACAAACTATTATTTACAAAAATGAGATAACTGATAATTATATGATATGTCTGTAGTTATAATTATGTCATGCATCCCTTAATGTTTCTAATGTTGCATTCTTCTTATATTACACGGACATAATCCACATGCACAGAAAACACAGATGTCCTTTTCTTTTAATTCCAATTGAACATACATTTGAGTTCAGTAGAAGTGTGGCACATTTATTGGGAAATTTGACAACGTGAAAAAATTAAAAATTTCCCGTGAAACGTACTATTAATGTAAATTCCGGTTCTTTGGAGACGTGGGCGCCTACCGCACGTTTCGGGACGTGCGTCACTATCGGGAGAGGTCCAAGGCCTTTTACTTAAGTGGCGACGCGACGCGACGCGTGGGGAGGGTCGCGTCGGGGACGATAGGGCTTAATGGCCCCGCGGCGCCGGTGGGGGCGAAGACAGGGGCGGTGGCGGCGGGGCGGGGCGGGGCGGCCCCCGCGCGCGGATAAGGGCGGCGCCCCGTGATGGACGAGCGCTCTCCGCGGGGCGCCGTCGCTCGCACCCGCCCCCGCGACGCCCCCACAGTGCCACCCTGCGCCGCCCTCATGTCGCTGTGCTGATGCCGCCGACCTCCCTACCCGGGTACTGCCTTGTCTCTGCTCTGGATTTACCCAAACACCACACCTTCCTTACGCCGCGCCCGCACCACTCGGAAACCTGCTGCATCCTGACTATGACATTCCGGCGATGTCTCGACTCCTTCGAAACTCCCCTCTCGCACTGACCCCACTGACATCTCAGCTTTTCGGTAGCCTCCGCTGCCTCTTTCTCCATGGTATCCATCTTCATGTCATTTTTCATAGTGACGTCACTGACACGATTCCGCCTCACACCGCGCCCAACGCAATCCCACTCCACCCCAATCCGTTCCACTCCAACCCACTCCAAATTACTCCGCCACGCACTGCTTCACAGCGCCCCACACCGCCCCAGTCCTCCCCACTCCAATCCGCTCCAATCAGCTCAAACTCACTCTAATCCTCTCCAGCCCAATCCGATCCCCTCCAACTCCAATCCTCTCCAATTCACTCCGATCCACTCCACCTCACTCCTCCGCATTCCTCCGCAATCCGCCCTTGTAACCCTATTGCCGCCCCCGCCCACACTCCCAGTGCCCGTCACCACAACACTCGTCCAACCCTTTCCCACGCTGCTCAAAAGCCGCCACGTCGGCGCCTCAACCCTTCCTAACGCCCCAATTCACCCTCTCCAGGCTTCATACCACGCACCATATCTTCTCCCAAAAAGTCTCCACGCTTCTCTTATTTTTTTGACAGGACCCTCAAACCCGCACAAGCATCTCCCTTACTATCTTATGACACAACCATAATTCCGTCGAGTTTCTCCAACCTCCGTCCATAATTCCGTCTCTCCGACCAAACCTTTGCCTTGCCCCACACCACTCTCGCATTACCACTCTCGCATGGTTCCCAAGTCGCTTTTACGTCGCTCCCAAAAAACCATTGACTTCCTTGAAGCCAATAGTGGCAAGCTCCATCGTCACACACACGATCCTATCACGAGCTCCTACGATGCTTTCTTTCTCTCGTTCGTTCTGTATCAGATTATGTTTCCGACTTTTTGAGACACCACCAACTAGCTCTTTCTAAACTCCAATCCACTGCCGAGAGCCGAGGATATTCCTAGTTCTCGTTTTTTGCCTGATGCGTGGAATTAGAAGCGTATTATTCTCATTTCTCTATTTCAAACGTAAATGCTCCAGAGGCTAATTGACCGGTTGTGGTAGCTCAGAGCTACCATTCTCTGTAGAATCTCTTTAGCGACTGTGATGGGGGGGGGTCTTCCTAGGATTCTAGTCCCGACTGTGGCGGAATTTTGAACACTAGCTCTATGGCTGGGTCGAACTGAGCCGCTCTCTGTAGGAAAATTCTAATGGCTGGCTGCAATGATTGATTGTTGTTCGTGATTTCTCCGTTTAAACCAGGGGAATGACGGAGCAGTATCCAACGATCGGTGCATGGAACTCGCGTGATTATTCCTTTCTCTTCCTTTCCCTATCCTCACCCATAACTTACACACACACTTACATGCACTACAGTGCCACAAGTGTCGGAAGCTTGGAGCTTGTTCCGGATAGTGCGGTGTCCCGCTGGTGGGAGATACGTGGTTGGGGAAACCACGCTTGTCGACGCGTAGGTCAACGCCGGATCTCGTCATATAGTGAGGGAAGATCACCGTCACCTCCCGTGACAAAAACATGCACGGCACTTACGGGACTAATGATCTTAGACTTTTTTACTCTCCCGGAATCATCAGTCAATCAGAATCCGATCAATAAAAGGCGAATGGAACGCCGGTACAGTACCCTAACAAACGGGTCGTGGACCACGCGTGATCATTCCTTCCTCTTCCTTCTCCTACCCTCTTCCCTTTACTCATACCCATTTCCACTTATATCCACTACACTAACGGGGCCAATGTGCATGTCAGCTGACGTGGAAGAAGCGTGAATCGGGCAAGAGTCCGATGTGTGCGTGGCTTTCCAGGAGACGTCGCTGGAGGGCTGGCTGCTGACGGACCTGACGGCTTCGCGCACCACGACGCCGTCCAACGGCACGGGCGGGCGGCTGTCGGTGGGCGCGGGCGAGCTGCCCGGCGCGGAGGCGCTCTTCTGGCTGGCGCCGGCCGCGTGGGGCGGCGCGCGCCTGCACGCCTACGGCCGCAACATCTCCTTCTCCGCGGCGTGGGCCGCCATGCGCGGCGACACCAGCGGCAAGCCCACCGTCGGGCCCAACGTCGTGCTCGTGGTGAGTGGGTCCGGCTCTTCACGCATGCGACGCGGCGGGGAAAGCCTCCGCGTTGCTTAGAGGGTGGGGGGATAAGTGGGTGGCAGTGTGAGTGAATGTGGGTTTCTCACTATGTATTTGCAAGTGTGAATGTGAAAATGAGTGAGTGTAAATATGTATGTATGAGTAAGCGTGTGAGTGTGAATATGTGTGTGTGTGTGTGTGAATGTTCGTGTGAGTGTGAATGTACGTGTGAGTGTGAATGTACGTGTGAGTGTGAATGTACGAGTGAATGTGAATGTAGTAGTGAGTGTGAATGTAGTAGTGAGTGTGAATGTAGTAGTGAGTGTGAATGTACGAATGAGTGTAGAATTTACGTGCGAGTGCGAATGTGCGTGGGACAGGGAGAATGTAAATGTTGGACTGTGAGGATGTAAAAGTATGAATGTGAGAATGTAAAAGTATGAATGTGAGAATGTAAATGTGTGAGTGTGAGGATTAAATGTGTGAATGTGACAATCTGAATGTGTGAATGTTACAATGTAAATGTGCGACGGGGAATGTTAATTTAAACATAAAAGTATGAGGGGAATTGTGAATATGAGAGAATGAGTGAAAGAGTACGCATGGAGAAGTGGTTATGTATGATTTAGGATATGGACATGCTCTATTCCTAGGTAAGTATACGTGAGCTTGTGCACCAGACAGCGCAATTGGGATGGTTAAAATATAATGTAAGAAGTGATTGGAGTTGGACGATGGCCATTTTTCAACCTAGTTCGTTTCTTATTTTATGCGCCTGGGCCTGAATCTAGCAGACCTATTAGCATAAGAAGGCTTAAATGTATCGTCGAATAATTTGAATGTGTACTGTGGTTTGAATAGTAAGCAAAAAACTTACTTTACTAATAAGATCTCACATTGTACGTAAGTGATGCTAGTTTTTGCGTCATATGTGTCGTGCCTACCAGTGAGTTTACAAAGTAATGAGAGAATGAGTGTCTTCATTCGCTGCAGCTCACTTGTCTCGCTGATAAATGAGTTCCGTATGTAGTTAGATCTTCGACTAATTGATCAGTTAGCAATTGCACACGTCTGCACAGCGCAACTTGGAGATAAATGAACGCGAGCAGTGAGAAAGAGCTGTTGCGTTAGTGAAGTAATGAACGGATGAGTATCTTGAGCTGCTAAAACAAGATTGCAACATTGATAAGTTAATGAATACAGCATTTTGGTGAATTTTAGAGGGAACTTTAGAGGAAAATAAGATAGATGATTTATGTATTAATGAAAAAATAACTAGTAAATTATGAACAAATTTTGAATAGAAGTCTCGCAAATTGTGTCCTTTATGTTTATCAATGATGGAGTTATATTCGTATTATATACAATATTTTTAAGTTGTCATTTTCAATGTTTCTAGCATTATCAACAAATTTCCGATTTTTTATATTCTTATAATATTATTTTGTGGTTAATTAAATTATATTTGATTAGAGTTTGTATTCATATATCAGCAACAATATTTGTATGCAAAATATCAATAGGCGCTCTCTCATAATATAATCTTCTGTTGCCTAATTATCTCCTTTTTTATTAACTTCCATTTAAGACAACAGAAAAAGTCCGTCATAAAAAGCGAACTCGTAATTTTTCAAAAAAAATCAAAATTTCCGAAGACATAAGTATACATTTTTACTTACATTTTACAAAATCGTTTAGTTGTTTGAATTCAGAGACTCAAATTATTCAAGAGTCAGCATATCACAGAATATTATATTTTCTAATTAGTTGACAAAGAAATGTATTGTATATAACTGGTAAAAGGAAGTTGACCATAAATAATATAATGGGGTGTTTTTACTGAATGAAAATTATTGTTATATACTCGTCCGTACTTAAAAAAAAATATATCATCTTATTTCCTGTGATCAAAAATATGTTCCTCTTTCCGATAGTCTTCACCGTCACGTTCTATCATTTCTCATATAAAATATTACTTTTCTCACAATATCTGTGATTGTATTTTTGTATGTTTTAATATTATTTTCACAGTAGTTACCGCTAATATAGATGGTGTGAGGAAAAATTTGCTTCCTTTAATTCTTTAAAAACATTTAATTTTGTTAATAATAAAAAACAGTTCAGGAATTCAACATTATAAATAAATTTCAAACAATATATTACATTTTCATCTTGCATACATATTAAATTTACATACTACAATTACATATTATATTATAATAAGTAATACAAAAATTTTGTATTTTTTACATGAGATCGTGACAAAAAAGTTAGATCTTCAGATCAGTCGCTTTTGAAGATCATAAAAACGTTCCATAAAACGTTCAAATGTCGCATAACGCAGATCGCTATCGTACACGGACAGTTGAATAGCTCGTATCCGAAAGCTCCGCGACTGTCACGTGTTCTCGACCATCGCTTTTTCATTGGGTTCCATCGTAAGGGCCAAGACAGCCTTTGTGTTTGGGAACAGATACAGTCAGATATGGTACGTCTCGCACTTCTCAGTGACTTGTCTCCAGAAGATCTAGTTGGCAACTGAAATTCGTGGACTGTGTCCTTGCAGTGGAATGAAATAAAATAAATTGGACAGACAACATGGCTGCGGGATTCTAAGACGATTCTTTTTATTACCCTGCCGCTCTTCTGTCCTCCGTCGACTTCTCTCAGTTGCTGCTCTCTTAAGCAACTCACGTCACACCCACTCTGCGTGGCATTTCTTTTCAGATCGTGTTCTTAAATGGCGAATCGTTAGTAGCTAAGTACGCCAAATAACGCCACAAGTAATGAGGATGTATATATGAGACCGAAACAACAAATTAGCATTGAAAATAGATATAATGTGCATGAGTAAGCGTGGAGTGAGTGCGGTAATACTTCAGCAAAGTGATACGTGCTTTAAGCTCAGTAGAGTAACTATCAAAGCAGAAAAGTGAACAGGATTTTTACGTTGCCTTTTGCCAGTAAATGTGTTTCACCAGATGTCGATTCCATATTGAACATTACAAACTTTACATTTTCAGACTATGCAGGGTTTTATTTGTAATTTCTCTGCTTAAATGAACGTTCAGAAACAACCTAGTTGATGATTAGTAGACTTAAGAAGTATGTGTCGATAATTTGGTACAGTACTACTCCTTATCGTCTGTTATCAATGATAACAGTTTTATTGGGTATATAAATGTGTATTTCAAACACCCCCTCTAAACAGTATTTCTTTTACTCATCGTGTCTTCCTTACGAACATTGTGGGAAATGATATGTGGCGAACGGGTAGAAGTTTTGGTTCTGTCTAATATTACCTGCAATTTTAGAAACACACTCGCCCACACAAACAAAAACACACACGCCCAAACACACAAACATACACATATGCGCCCACCCACATACACGTCCCAACACATATACGCTCACACACGTACACACCCACACGCACACGGGCGCACACACACATAAAAGCTCGCGATCCAATACATGCCCCAGGTAAGCCCCAATCAGAACGGCTAACGCCAACACCTGATTGACCAACTGCAGTTATATTCTATGCAGCTAATTAGCTTTTTGTAATATGAGGTATTTTAAATCAGAATTTAACTTTTTTGACCTGGATAAACTGTAGCTAATTAAATGCTTTTGATGATCCCTAGAATCAAATCAAAGTATAATCATTGTAAAACATTTAGAATATTTGTCGCATAAATTGACGTTAAAACGATACTTTGACATATTGATAAATTTTAAAGTTATTAATAAATTACCAATCAGTCTAGAACAATGATGTAAATTAATTCTATATTCTACAACTTATTGATTATCCCTGGTTGATATGTAATATCTGTGAGGATTAGAATAAACGTTTGCACGAAAATTCTTTGAAAATGTTTTTCTAAAAATACTGTAGAAGTCTTGAGGAAAAATCTGAAAATTTATGCCAACGAACCTTTCGTGAATATGTGTTAAACATGATGAGACCGGACAATATTAATTTGTAAAAGCCACGATGCAATATTTATAATAATCTCCAACTTCTACACGAATGACTTAAATATTTCTGATATTCAATTTGTATAAATGGCAATTGCCCAGTAACAATGTATTGTTCTTTTCCTGTTTAGCTGGAATAAAGAATTTGTATTTCCTTCCCTGTCATGTAAATTTTTATCTTCTCTTTTACGTGCTGATACGTGATATACGGAGTATAGAGAAAGTTATGTAATACCGCGGAAAATGGATTTCGATATTTCCATGAATATACCTTCTGAGGTTTCTTAAAACCGAAAAGTGTTATTTGTTTCAAAACATTCGTCCATCTGTAGCGTAACTACTGCAAGAGATTTTGCCAAAATGATATTCTCCAGTGCTCTGGCTCAAAGCCTTCCGATTTTGAAACGAATTCTTAAAATTTTATGTACTTTACGTGAAGTCCCTGTGATATTTTAAAAATTTTCTCAAAATGGTCCCAGTTTTATAAAATTTCTAGGAAGAATTAACTTAAATACACATACAAAGATGGGAGAGGTCCGAATTTCATTGATTACTCTGAATTTTCGAAAATGGCAAATGTTCAAATTTGTTTTGTTTTGTTTTCAGATTTTTCCTACAGATACATTACACTTTCTACAATCGTTTTTTTCTATAACTAGTCCTTTAATTAATGTCATGTAATTTCTTTTCAAAATATTCAGTTTTCACACAATTTTGAGGAAAATATAGGTGATATTAAAAAAATATTTAAAACCAGATTTTCTCAAAACGGCTCAATTTTTAAATAATTTTTGTACGAATAGTGCTAAATGCTCTGAGTAACTTGATATAAACCCCTATCTGATGTATTATTTTGATTTTTTAAAAATTATAAAACAATCATTATTAAATATATTTCTCTTGTCGTTAACATTTGCACTAAGGGCGTTTTTATACATATTGAACTTGTGAGTAACGGTGTTTCAAATGATTTCCAATGACGTTTCTTGAAAACAAAAATTTTCTCCGCAAATCTATTCGAAATTTTGAATTTTCAGAAATGCTCAAACGACACTTTCTCATGAACCTCTTCATATTTGTTAATGAAAATATGCATTTGATACTACATTTTCTTTTACGGTAGTACTCTTAAAGACATTTAAGTTCTTCTATGAAAGAACCGAAAAATTGAGAAAAAAAATGTTTTTGCGGCGACAGGTAGCAGCTGGGAGAAGGGGGCTGCATAAAAAAATAGAAAAATAACTAGTAAGTAAATTGTTGCTAGTGGAAATTTGGATGGAGAGAAACTCGAAAAAGAAAGACACAATTTTTTTTTACTTTCAAAACAAGGAAAACCTCAGTACCCCCAAAATAGGAAAAAGGAGAAAATATTACCTCGTGTATTTCTTATATATTTTCAAATATTTTGTTTACTTATATATCTTGATAACGCGTATTTTTATTATTAACTTCTCATTGGATTTGTTCTACAATCTTTTTCTACCGCGAAATTTTGAGAAATGAATCCTTTCTTGGAAATTGGTCATATAATCCGCTAACAGTGACAAGCAGACTGTTTTTTTCTTGAAAAGAGTTTTCTCTGTTCTTCGTTCTTATTCTGCAATGTAACTTAATAAAATCTGTCACTCTAATTCTTTTAATTTAATTTCTCACCATACAATCCGATTTATTTCAGTTTTGGTCGAAATTTCTGTGTCTTTCTATTATATCTCATGTTGAATATTTTCTTACTAACATTTAAATCACTAAAAGAATTGGTTCATTCAGTCACAACTAAAACACATCAGTATACGTAAATTTAAAAAAAGTAATTACGGTATTGTTTAAATATTCATTTTTACTCAGTTAATATTCTCTAAATCTTGCGTACGAGTAAAGCACTATTAATAAAGAAAATGAATTAATTATGTAAGTTATATTAAATTTCAAATATATTTTTGAATATAGGCCCTATGTTCGATATCCTGCAAAATGTCCCCAAAAAGAGGCTCTATTCTGATTCCACTCTCCATCAATTGTAAATTAATGACATTGAAATCGTATGTAGTGCAATTTTTTTAGTTTGTTCACTCCTTTGTGTTGTATATCTCTCTTTGTCATACACCATATCCAATAAATAAGTATTTATTTTACCTTAAACACCTCTGTATATTGGGAACTTTTCCTTTAACTACAGGATTCCTCGTTCTATGGAGATTATTCTATGCAATGTATTGTGTAATTCTGAAGTATTTCTTTTATTTATATTTTTTTACATCTCGGTCCCGCCCCGCCCTTCTTTGTTTTGCATCTTTTTTCGTCCCCTTATTTTCATTCTTTACGAGGTTTATATTTCTCTTTTTCATAGAATATACATTTTTGGGGAGCTTTCTCCCACCTTCAGAGGATGTCGATTTCGACTATTCCACGCCCGTCCCACTATGTCCCTCATGGGGACACATGTTAACCTTCACATGATGACATTGACACACTTTTAGACTCCTCGGTCTGTGGTTAGCAGACTCACATTCCATTCCGCGACAACACGCAGAAAGGCAAGCGACAAACAACCATGCCGATGGCAGGACTCGAACCCACAACCTTTTCAACCGAGACGCTGAGTCGGTAAACCTTCCAGCCCTCGGCCATCCAGGACGGCTAACAGAATATACTTACTTACTAGCCAACGCCCACCCCTGGCAGGTTAGCCATTTGGTGACGCGCTGACCAGTATAGACTGGCTCATCTCTCTGTATGGGTTGTCCTCCGCCGAGTTTGTGTTGGCACTCAGGGCTGGGCACATCGGAAGGTGTGCTGCATCCATCTTTGGGCCAATACATAGCACACAGGTTTCACCTTCGAGGACGCTTATGCAGTGCAGGTGGCTGGCAAGGTAGTCATGGCCTGTAGTTGTACTGAACACGGCGACACTGGTAGCTCGAGGTAGATCGTGGGGGATCGGAGTTTCCGTCAGGCTGAACCAAAGTTTTCCCGCGGCGCTCTCGATTCTTCGTGCTTTTACCCAGGCATTTACTGAGCGCTTTATACAGGTTTTGGCAGTGAATACGACTGATGGCTTTGTGGCTGGTCAAATGTTGTGCCTTTCTTGGCCAACTCTGGGATACCATTCCCTGGGATACCAATGTGGCTAGGAATCCACTATAGGACGATTTGACGACCACCTTGTATTAGTTTTGAGATCTTAAAAGAATATACTAACAGTGTTTTATGTTCGTTTTTTAAAATAATTATTTATCGGTCATCATATACCATGCATGGTTTTATTCACCTAACCCGCTAGAAACGCGTTAAAAATACTCGCAGGTTTTCGTGGTTTTAGCGAACAACAGAAACAACAAGAGAATGAGAACTTCGATTTATGCAACACATTATAATTCTGAATCTATCAGTTCTTAGTTTTCACCCCTTCCTGTCAGAGCGGGTCTTCGGCATTTAGCTCTCTCAACCCCCTCAGGTCGCATCCGGTTTCGAAGGAACGTCAACGTCCCTTTATTTCATAAATTGATATTTATTATTTCTGCAGGTAGGTTTAGCAAGGAACACTACATTTTACAAACATTACAATTAAGAATATTAATACAGAAATAATTTCATTAATTAATTTATTTTAAAATTTTGAACACCTAGAGGAGAAAGGCTGTCGCAGGCAGCATATTCCAGTCCGTTATTTTGCTATTTGTAAAGGAAATTTCCCACCATCTATTCTCCCCTACTGAATTTTGTGTCTGTAATTCCTTCTACTAAAGTACTAGTGGGTGTACTGGTTCGGGATAGATATCTTTCCAAGATGGATATCCGGCATAGGCGTTGTTTAGGGCACAGAGCCTTGCTTTAATCCTCATCAATTCTTGACGTCCCCTTTCTACTTTTTTCATATTGTCTCGGAATGCACGTTTACACGCTCCTCTCTGTATTCTATCCACATTTTCCTTTTGTAATTTCTATAAATCGCTCCATATTCCGTTTAAACGATTCGCCTTCTCTCCGACTCCTGCAAAGGTGGGTCAGGGCATCAATTAATGTCTCTGCAGTGCCTCTTACGTGGAGATCCTAGGGTTTGAGTCCCGTCGGTGGCAGAATTTTCGACACAATCTACTCAGCTAGGTCTAATGCATCTGCTGTCTGGAGGAAAATTCTAGCGGCCGACTACTCTTATCGGTAGTTTTCCGTGTGTTTTCCGGTCAACACCATGTGAATACCGGAGCAGTACCCTAACAAACAGGTCACGAAACGCGCGCGATCTTTCCTTCTTCTTCCTTGCCCTATACTCATGCCTTACTTACACACACGTATGTGCACTACACTACCACATGTGCCGTGAGAGCTAGCCCGGCCGGGGCAGCTCCCCGCTGATAGGAGACACCTAGTTGGGAAACCGCAACGCCGGAATGTCGGGCCAGATCTCGAGCATCCACTTGAATAATCATACGCCATCTCACTCGATTTCAATATGCCGCTACATTTACGGAAACTAACGACTTTGCCTTTGACTCTCCCCGGAGAATCCTAATAAATGAACGAAGCCTTTTCTTCCTTCTCGTTGCATGGCGCCAACCGGCGGTGTCGGTGGCGATACGGCCACGTGGCGTACCGGCGCGCCGTACGCCAATATCCACGGTGCCTGCTGACGGGCGCCCGAGACGGTCGGCCGGCAGCGGGGGCCGTGTCGGTGATGGCGGGGCGAGCGCGGCGGGCGGCGCGGGCGCCGGCTGGTTCTCACCATGCGCGCGCACGTGACGGACATCCCCGCGCGCCCTCGCGCGCCCCGACACGGCGGGCCGGCGCGCTCGCGCGCCGACTGCTCGCCGTGCTGGGGCCGAGACCTGCGCCATGTGCTGCCTTGCGCGCCTCCTTCCACATGGACCAGGTCGAGGGCAGGTGAGCCTAAGTAATAATAACTAGTAGTAATACATAGATCGCATGGGATCCTTGCTGATCCCCTAATAGGAGAATATTCAGAGCATTGGGATGCCAGCCCCTTTTTCGACCCAGGCTTCCTTGGAAGCCTACGCGTGTCTGGGGTCCTTTTCAAACAGGCGGGAGCAGGCGGTCCCCTGATACGCCTGGGGTGTGACTCTTACTTTCTCCGCCGGATGTCGGTCTCAGTTAACTATATCTGAGATCTCTCTTTGGGAGAGGGTGAGATACCGTTAGGGTGGGATATTGTCGGAGGGATTTAATTTTGTCGGGCATCTGCCAGGGGTCTTTTATATGCCACAAGAGTAACATGGCTACTGTGAATTTTCTGTCATTCCAAAATCCACGCATCTTGGCCCTTCAGGGATCGAACCCGCGCACTGGGATTCAGAGGCCAGTAAGCTAATCTCTCATCCACCGAGGAGCGTAATAATAACTCGTAAGAAATAAATAAAAAATAAACGTGGTAAATAATTGTTTTAAAACTAAAAATTTCTTCAGAGTAGAACCCAATACACAGTGTCCAGACCTTTAATTATGTGTCACAGCATTATACTTAGCTTAGCGTTGAGATTAAATTGTACTGCGTTTTTTATTTTATCGCCAAACACTTTTTGACTTCTTATTTCAGTTCAATTTGATAATGTTTCTGCCCTTTTATGACCCCCTATACTTTCGAGCGGGAACACCCAAAAGAACTAAATTTCCAAAAAATGCATTAAAATGTTCCAAAAGGTCTCATGTTGTAGAATACTGTTTCAGGAACCTAACTTGTCTCCCATGTATCGTCAACCTATCCACCCAACTGCCCCTCGCCATTTCTCATCATGTTCCCTTTCCGTCTCCCAAAACTCGTGCCCTCAGGAAACTCACCTCACAACAAAATGCGTGAACCTGTGGGGTAAAATCACGTGGATTTAAGGGCATGGGGGCCATCGTTTCCGAGTTATGCGCTATTATAATGTCTTGCTATTATCATTTTTGTAAGTTATAATTTGCAAACTTATGTTTTTACTTTTTCCCTTGTACTATTATATTAGAATCACATCAACAATATAATATTGATTTATTTTCGCCTTGAATCTGTTGGATGCTGGAGGAGTTGTAATTCTTATTCAGCAGTAGCACACTTTCTTGAATTTGTGTCGTTGGTCTCTTATAAATTTCCAAAATCAGTCATATATCCTTAGCTTATTAATGAAAATTGTTATTAATAAAAATGGTGCTCAAATTCCCAGCAATCGCATATCACTAGCTTATTTCCCCTGTGGATATTACCCCCGAGCAATAGTATTACTTGACTATGTCTGCGTTACTCCACATTATAGAGTTGAATAGAGTTACAGTACTGATTTTGAAATTATAATTGTACCACAATATGTGTTTCATTATGCAGTAAATTAATAATTATCTGTGTGATTATATTTAGCCAACTAATTGTTCATTTGATTGCTTTTCCTAAATTATAATACAATTCGGCTACCAGTCGCGTATTATGGAGTTGGCGTTCATATCTTTGCAAAGAAAGATACGAATAAAGAAAGAATAATGGGATTATTTTACATTAAGGAAATGTTTTTCCACACAGCTTGGTGTGTGTTACGTTTAGAATCAGCATTCCTAATATATAAATTTTCGCATTATAACATCACTACTGATGCCGGATTCATAATAAGTGTTTTATAGTATTTTCGATATATTTCGAAGGAAAGAAGCTAAAAAACTGTGTAAAATACTATATGCGTGGCCATTGAAATATCGTTTCCGTTTTCTCAGAATAGCGTTTTGCATGTGCTGATTTTATGAGTTTAGTGATTGAATTATTACTATTACTATTATTATTATTATTTAGAAACTTTTGCACAGCATTTTTCTAGTGCATTTATAAGCCAGTGTGACTGAGGTCCTGATAAGAGGAAGAACTCGCAATTTAAATCCGTTTTAATGAGTAAAGATTTTTCCTGATTCTTATTTAAAATATTTACTGCCTGTTTCAACACGAACTTGAATAATTTCCAACGTGAAACGATGCAAGCTGCATCAAAACTTTCACATTGTGCCTAACTCTAACACACCTCAGTGTCATCAAGAACGTATCAGGGAAAAACTTCAAAATATGAATTGAAATTAATATTTTTAAGTGACCAGACTTACATCGTATGGCCTACACAACATCAAGAAATTAATTTGAAGTGCATGAAGTCATTTCATTTTGCCATTGCCAGTCAGCTCTCTCGTTTTGTCAGTCGTAAATGTATGATACGGATTCGACTGATTGATTTGGAAGAAAAGGACACGAGTTTTCATGTCCCTGAAAACCATTCATGTTGGCGGGATTGAACAAGCTTTCTCGAGTGTATTGAAGTAGCGTAGTATGAGTGCATTAGATGAAAATAAATACAAGCAGAACTGCGTACGTCCCGGGAGATCTTATATTTGAGTTCTGTTCATGCGGTTATTTTCAACATTATCTCGGACGTTACGGCGATCGGACGATGCCTCTGCCTTGCTGAGAACAGCCTTGTAGGAGCCGACTGCTGTGATTGGTCGATGGCATAGTTTCCTCCGATCATTTTCCTCTTATCATGCGGATATATGAGCAATACTTAATTAACGGCTTCCGGACAGCGCTCTCCTACCATCCTTTCCTTCCGTCCTCCCCGTTTTTACCTCTGTTCCCATCTTTAAAGCCGGGTGATGGACTAGTGTCCCAATCGTAGATTCTCGCATTGTCTCAATAGATTTCGATACTGCCAGTTATGAATGTCAAATCTGTGCCGGGGCTCTGCCTGCCACTGAGCTATAATGTTGTTGATGAGTCGTGGGGAAGGTAGACAACACAGAGAAAGAGGGGCTAGAGAGGAAGAGAGGAGATGAAAGGAGAGAGTGGAGGGAAGGAGAGAGGGGAGAGGGACGGTGAGAGACTAGAGAGAAGGAGAGAGGAAAGGAAGGGAGAGAAGAGAGAGGGAGGGATATGAGAGGAAGGGAAAGGAGAGGGAGGGAAAGGAGAGGAATGGAGAAAAGAGGGAGAGAGAGGAGAGAGAAGAGGGAAAGAGAGAGGAAGGAAGAGAGATGAGAGGAGAAAAGAGAGGAAATAAGGCAGGAGAGGAAGAGAAGAGGGAGGGAAGAGTGAGACAGCAGCCTGCAAACACTAGAAAATGATTTTATGCCGTGAATGTTGACATCCTGGAAGCACGTGCTCCATCTCCCAATTGCCCACTGCGTTTCGTTAAGCGTCCGAAGCGACTTCACCGTGACAGACGCGAGGGTCACGCAACCCGAAGCAAGCTCCGACTAATAGCCTCATCTAGAAGTAATAGCTCCCTCTCGAGGGAGCCCGGGATGAGCGCTGGCGTCGGGGAGGGTCACGAACGCATGCGGCTGTCTCGAGATGAAATAATTTCATTAGCTTCGAGAACAGCGAGGACGGGCGGAACCTTTTGGTTTGTTTGCCAAGTCATTCACTTTGTCTCGCCATCCAATAGTTTGTACTTAATTCCTCGTTTACTCTCATATATTCCTTTTCTTTCTGTTTAATGATTCATCTTCTTCCCATCCTTCCTCGTATGTCGCTGCAACCCAATCAGAACTTAGACCGGGCATTTTTACACTCGCGCCATTGCCGGATCATACGTGATGGATGATATGGGGTGAGAAATTCTTGGTCCGCCTGACGATGAGATTCAGTGTTCCTTCGTCTTTTTGTTCCTATTTTTCCTCTTCTTCCTCTTCTTCTTCCTCTCTCTCTCCCTCTTCATGGATCAGACTTGAGCCTGAGACGTCAGGCGTCTTCACAATTTTTCCTTGCATCTCTTTTGGAACTCCTAACAAATCTTTGATGGTTTGAAGCTAATATAAGTAGTTTAGAATAATCGATCATTTGTCTATATTGATATCAGTTGTTCGGTATTTAGTTATTTTGCATCATTTTCTTCTGCATGTTGTTGTCCTCGCCTGGTTTCGAATACTGTCTTCTTTTATGCTGCCTAGAGTCCTCATCAGAAACTGTATCATTTTAGTGGTCTAAATTGTACTGAGAATTTTTTTTATATTTTTTATACTTTTTTATACTTATTGTCCTCCTGTCAGCGACTGAATTCGACCTGTAGCTACTCTACGTAGCTAGTGTCGAAAATCTGCCCCGTCTGGACTCGAACCCTAGGTCTTCGTAATCAGAGTTCCGGCAGAAACATCGGCAATGCTAGCTCTGAGCAAAACTTAGTGTATTATGTACAGAACCATATTTTATTTGAAATCATGCCAATTTTTTATTGATCTCTTTATTGGTATCTTGATCGATTTGACAACCTAATTAGCAGAAACTGAATACTTGCTTGTAAAATTACTTTATCTCAAATAATTTTTGATCTTACTAGTTGTTTCCGCAAAATTCCATCACCTTGTTTTTTTTTCTTTGAATATTTCAACATCGTAGTATTTACATAAATGGTGTAAGTTGAATGATGCAAACAAAAAATTTGACGAAGTAACTTTCTGCTTCAGAAGGCATATTGGTATCATCGCAGTGTCGCTTGGCTTTCACTAATTTCAGCTGTCATAAGATATATTCGTAAATTTAATTCCTTCGTTACAGCCATCGGACGAACAAGAAACAATGAATTTCGATAATTCATTCATATTCAAATATGTTTGCAACAGACAGTTCAGTGTAATTTAATTTTCTTTATATCTAGTTTTTTCTTCAGTGGACCAATTATTATAAATTGTATTTTTTATTTACAAAAAAGGCAATATAGACCCATTCATCTAATACTTCTTTATTTATCTATTACGAATTTCAAGGCTGTAAAGGCAGTACATAAGTGGTAGTGAAAATCAACTACCACATTAGATTAGCTGACGAAGGGCTGTATGGTGTATTTTAAAAGATAACTAGGAAACGTTTATTTCAATTTTGGGAAAGTTAATATAAGAACGCAATAACAATCTTATCTCGTTCTATTCGATGAAAACACTCATTAAATTCTTAAGACTTAAAACAATAGATGTAATTTAGAGTGTTTACTCACTGTGTTTTAAATTAAACTAAGTTATCAATTAGAATTAAATTTGTAATGTCAAATAGACGGTTGTTCACATGGTAGTCTTCTGGTTTACGATAGTAGATTAGTCAATTACAAAATAAATTTCTTTGCAACCTAATTTGCAGACACATACAAAACGTCCGAAAAAAATATTTTTAATAGAAATGTCAAGTAAATTCTGCTGCGCATTGTTGGGTCCAATTAACGCAAAGGTCACTCTCAGATGGAAAGCATGCATAATAGACACCATTGGAGGACCGTTGAATTGCCTATCAAATGTTTTCATGACCTAGAGTATTTCTTAATATCTTTTCTCATTTATCAATGTCATTTCTCGCTCCCATAATTTATTCGTCTTTCATCTAATTCTCTACCTCTTTTATTTTCCCTCCTGCACATCTCCCTCACGTGAGAAAGCGCTCTTATTGTCTTTGCCTTAAAGGGCAGCGTCTCCTTCGTCATCACCCCTCTCTCTTTCTCCCCCTCTCCCCTCACTCTCTCCCCCCTCTCTTCATCCCCCTCTCCCTCTCTCTCTAACAGACTTCCTTTGTCTCTCTCCCCTCTCTCTCTGCCTGTCTCTCATTCTCTCTCCCTCTCTCTCTCTCTCTCTCTCTCTCTCTCTCTCTCTCTCTCTCTCTCCGTGTGAAAACGTGGGTGGGCGTGCGTCTTGCTTCCTACGCCTTTGCTTTAACCTGACCTGTGGTTCACGAGACCAGGCGGCTGCCTCTGGCAGCAGTTTGCCTTACGTCAATGGCATGTATAATGTATGAGTAGAAATTGCATGAGTTCATTGTATAGTTCGCTGCGTAGTTATTTGCTTGTAGAGTCACTCATATTTCTGACTCCGACAAACATCTCCGGGCATCCCTTCAGACGCAAGTTAACCTGTGGGTTGAAATGATTTGTGATACTAACCCACGTAGTAAATTTCGGAAAAATGCAATAGCGAAATACATGACATGAGAGAATATAATCTTTTTTTTCTGTTGAATAGTATTTATGGTAGATTATTTTCAAACAAAATTAGTTTATAGCAATTGGTAATTTTGATTCAATTCCTTGGGACGGACGGAACAACCGTTTAAAAATATACATGTTCAATTTTTTTATATTTTCATTACAAAAGTGCATTTGAAATTATTCAATCGAGTTGCTCTGCTTACTCATGCGTACTCAAATCTTAACAACACACATATATCACCTTAAAAACTGTGAAGTAAAAAATGTTACCAAGCAATTTAGTGAGTAAAGTAAGCAATAAGTCATATTAACATCGTTGACGACAATTGTGACATTGCGTATCCCGAGAACAACGCAATATTAAATTACTCAGAATATACGAATAAATATAATTCGGCACTGGTTTTCGCAAATAAACATGATTCGGCATAATATGATTTTTCTGAATTTCTAACATTCTTTCATTACATTAAATGAACTGTTTGTCTTGAAGTAACTGTACACTGCAATAAATGAGAAAAATATCAAAACCAAGACTGTCACATAGATCCTTTGAGCTATGAAAATTTCAACGAGTATACGTTCTCGCGGCAAATATCCCAAAATTGATACTCAGTGGAACTTGCTTTAACGGCGACCTCGATTAAGCGGTTACGTCCACTAACGGCCATTTTTTCGTGGAATCAATTGATTTTTCCATAAGGCATTGGTATATGTTCACGCTTTCTCTGGCTAATCGGCCTGCGATCAAGCACATTTCGTCAATTGACCTTCCTTAAGCGGTCGCCTCAAACGAGTTTGAACTGAATTATAGCAAGAGAAAAAAGGTTGTGGAGATTACTATTGATTTACTGTCTTCCTGCACCAGGTCGCACTGTCAGATTACTTTAAAAACTGTCATCTGGAGTCGGTTACCTCGCAGGGAGGTTACTTTCTGTTTCAGCTGACAGACCATATTTAATGACAATGCTTTCGTTTCTGCGTTTTCACAAGATTCCTACGAATTGCTAAGTCATGCTTCCCGTGTAGGTGAAACAAATTCCCACTGAGTAACCATCGCCTCGCTAGTTCTTCTAAAACTTTTAGTAATAATCTTTTTTGTTGTTGTTGTTGTTGTTTATTGAGAGCGACCGCGAGTTTATAAGTCACCGCGAGGCCAAAGTAAGTTCTTAATGTCTTCCCTTCGGTAAAGAAAGCTAGGAACAAAATACTAAAGTAGCGTATAAAATGTTTTGTTAATACTCGTGTTTTCGTGTGTGTGGAACAGATTAATTGGATTTACATCATTTACTTCAATTTTCGTACCTATATTTTCCGTCAGACTTTTTTGGACGAATTAAACACGAAAGTCGAGGTTGCACTGTAATACTCTAAAAATTCGTACTTGTGTGTATGCTTCTAACGTGCCGTATTATCTGAAAGCAACTGTTGATTCTGTTGGAATTTTTCCGGTGATGTCACTTAATCCCTGTTCGTAGAAACATCAGTTCTGAGTGTAGTTTAAAGTGAATTATGGAACATTATGGTATTGTAGGCATGTGTGATCAGACATTTACAGACGGGGTTCTAGAGTCCCTAGAGTTTGAGTCTTGACTGTGGCGGATAATCGACACTAGGTACATAGCTGCGTTGAATTCATCCACTGTCTGGAGGAGAATGCTTATGGTAGACTGCACTTCACGGTAGTTTTCCGCAATTTATCACGGGCGAATACTGAAGTAATACCCTAACACACAGGCCAACCATCTCGTGCAATCATCTCTTACACACACACACACACACACACACACACATCTAAGAACTACATAACCACACCAGCAGAGTTGACCTGGGTGGGGCAGTGCCCCGCTCCAAGAGATGCCGAGATGAAAACCCCGTATACCGACATGACGGTTCGCCCCCTTCGTGAATCAAGGGGACTGAATGTAGTGCAGACAATACTTTATTACTATTTTCTTAGTACCAAAGTAAAATTCCGAGTACTATTCATATTTTTCATAATGACTTCCACTTTGCTTTGAATGTGATTTGTTGACTTGTGACACCCCTTTCATGTTGGTCCTTGTGGTGGTCTGCCCGTCTGCCCCTCCTGCAGCATCCGTAATGGTTATCATTAAGGTCCTTCAGTGTACTGAGCTGGCTCATATTCCTCTCCGGCTATGTTAATGGTTTTCTGGTTCTTTAATGCCAGAAAGAGAAAACCAGACGTGCATGTCCAACATTAATCATAGCCACAATAGTCGAATTCCAACTAGCCTGCAACATTAGACCTGGATTCTTCCAAAAGATGAAAGGCTTGAGGAAGAAACAATATAAGCTACACGTTCATCAGCCACAACAAGTCTCCCGCTATTCATACATGTTAATATCTCGATTTTAGTCGAAGTCTGCCAGCTTTTGTTTTGGCCCCAAGTTCTTCATAAAAATGAAGGCAAATAGAAACAACATAAGTCACGCTTTCACCAAAATCGAGATATTAATATTTACGAGTAGCGGGAGGCTGGCGTGGCTTGTCTTACTGCTGCCCCGAAACCTTCAAATCGAATCGCAACGTGCTCTCTCTCTCTTGTCCGGCAGCTTGCTGCGCGCGTCGCTGGGCTGGGGCTCGGCGGGCGCGTCTGGTTTGGAGAATCCCCGCGTGGAGCGCTGCGACTGCCCGCCGGGCTACGAGGGCCTCTCGTGCGAGCGCTGCGCCTTCGGGTACGTGCGCGCGCCATCTGGCGGAGGCGCGGAGGGCGACGCCGCCAAGGCGCGGGCCTTCGAGTGCCGCCGCTGCCACTGCAACGGCCACGCCGCTTCCTGCGACCCCGACACCGGCGCCTGCACGGTGAGTTCAGAGAGTCGAGATAGTTGTTTATGCACCAAAGGCGTTATAAGGGTTCTTGTGTTCGAGCGGTGACCGAAAGCCCGAGGCCCATTGGCCTGAGGACATTTTGTCGCCCGAGATCATTCAATCCAGTAAATGCTCATAATGTATATAATATTTTATATTTAACTTAATTTTAATGATTTAGATTTACTTCTTTACTAATTAACTAGATGTTAATTGACTCGGTTTTTTCTTTTCAAATTTCCCTCTCACCTCCATAAGAGAACATGTAGCATCATTCATCTGTTTTCATGTTTCCCTCGTGACCACGATCCTGTCGATCCAGGTAAGTTGTGTAGTGTATATTAGGTCGGTGTAGATGACAATAACACATCAGTAGAGCATTCAAGTATTTTGCGGTTTACTAGTTTGTTACTGTTTGTTATAGACCCGAAACAAAACACGTAATGGAAATTTTAATAACCTTACGGGCCTTTCAGATACTTTATGCCCGCGCGGACCATTTGAATACTGTATGCCCCAAGTGCCAGTAACATTTTTTTTTATGAATTTCACTAAAGAAACAACAAAACAATAAAAATGGTATTATTTTCAAATAAGAAAATTAGCTGAACATAAATATTATTTTGTTGAATTGACAGTAAAATCGCAATTTTGGCACGTTTCCGTTAATTTAAAAGTCCCTTCAGTCACTCTCATTTCACGGTTACCCATTATATTTTACATACTCACAGATGTTTTTTTGAAAACTACTAATACTGCTAGCAGTAATAGATGCTAGCACTACTAACATCTTCGAAATGTTATTTTTTTATGTAGTGAAATCTTCAAAATGGCTTTGTACAGAGGATGCAAATAATATATAAGTGCCGTTTTATTTACGCAATTCACACGAATTTATTATCCAACTCTGAAACACACCGAACTTCTTTTCATATATTTCTTACGATTTTATTTGGAACAAAATGTTCCAAACTGTTAGGGTTTTAGTGTGATCGAGAGTTCCTACAGATTATTGTGGATCTTCCAATTAAATCCAGACGAATGCCAGAGCAGGACCTTAACAGACGGGTCACAGACAGCTCGCCTTGTACTCTTCCTCATTTTTGTCCTCTCCTCTCCCCTCACACACACGTGTAATAGAATAGTTACACTTACTCATTCTCTTCAAACATTCTTAGCAAAATTTTGAAATTACCAACCCTTACATCACTTTAATTATAAAACCTTAAACAGAAAAACTAATTTGTCCTCATAGAAAATCTAAAATGTTAAAGGATAAGGATGTTTAAAAAATAAGAATCTTCTCCTCGCTGATGAAAATTCTGGTTGTTCATGATTCAAAGACCAGCAATTTTAGTCAGCTTCTGCATAACACAGTCTTGTGACCTGATGTGGAGTCTTGGCAACTGCAAGTCTCAAGGAACGTTATGCTCACTTCTATAATTTTCTAATGAATTAATTTTAGATATAAGTTTTTGGTCAGTATTTTGAAATTGAAATATGGTTCTCAAATTTACTTTTGCTGTAGTTCTTAATGTATTTGTAAATTAATTTTGACAGTTAGCTAACAAAACCAAAATTTGCTAGAAAGGGGCATGGCGCCCATGCCCACATCCCCCCATGCTCCTCCCCCTTAATCCACTGTGTCAGTGTACCAAATCAGTGATTTCAAAACTATGACATCCACAGAAAAAATTGTTGTCAATGAGATGGTCAAGTTTGAATTTACCAAACTAATCCAGAAAAATCTCATATTTGCATATATGTTATTGAAATCTGCAAATTAAATATTTGTCTTTTTTTAAATTCTAGCAACATAATGTAACCTAAGGTGTATTCTCTGTAGGTTTGTAGGAGCCACTTTGATGTTTCAGATTAAATCAAACTTTCCAAGTGTCAATATAGCCAAGTCAATATATTATATTCATTGACATTTAAAATTAATACGTCGAGTTTGTTGATGTATTTGCATAAGTAAAGCATTTTAATTTGTTTATTACTACTACTTTTTAAATCTGTTGCGCCTACATAGACGCAACGCGTCTCCAAGCCCCTTGGGGCCCGCAGAGCGCTTCCCGCTTCCGGAGTAATCCCCCATTAATTACAGCGCGAGAGTAATCCTCCATTAATTAACATTGTCCATCACGTCTCGTCTCAGTCATTTGTCAAGAGGACCGCCAGGTAGGATCTCCGCTTACGCTCCTCTCTCTTACGCGCTCCTGCGTCATTACACAGCGGCCAAAATTGGGAAGAAATTAAGAAAGTGGTAGGATTTAGGACACTTCAGAGGGGTTATACTAGCCCTTGAGAAGCAGCCAAACTCGTTTTCTCGGAACAAATTTCACATGAAATGGTCCGGGAATCGACGGAAATCGAACGCAGACCTCACTGGTGAAAGGCGAGCGACTTCGCTCATTGAAATTAATGTTTATATATAGTACTTTTTTTTTTACCGAAACACGCATAGAATTCCCTTAAGATTAATTCAAGAAACTAAAGAAACATTTCTATCACTAATAAATGGCATTTTTCTTGAATTTCTAATATAAATGAAAGTGGAATTAGTACATTAAAAAATAAATAACTGACAAATGAAAAATAAAATTCAGTGACAGTTAAAAAGAGTAAGAGTGTCAGATATTTTAAGACATATTTGAGGTGATATTTTGTATCATACATTCATAAAATAAACATATTACGTTTATAATAAAATTTTATCAAATTATGTATGAGAATAAGGTTGTGCAGATAGCAAATTGTTCCTTCATTACTTCTTATGAATTTCTATTTGTTAATTTTCCTATTTATTAAACATGGGAAAATGTTTAGTCGTTATAACACTTTGGGTATCATAAAAGATGTTCTATTATTTTCATTTCCTGTATGATATTTGCATAATATTTGTTATTTCTTGTTTTCAGGAATGCCTACACAACACAACTGGAAAACACTGTGAATTCTGTATAGAAGGTTTCTTCAGCAATGCCACCCGAGGTCTTCCCACTGATTGCAAACTCTGTGCTTGCCCAAGTGAGGACCCTACCCACTCCTTCAGTCCTACTTGTACAGCAACCCCTGGTGGTGGACATATGTGCACATCATGTGCAAGAGGACATGCAGGTCCACATTGTGAAAGGTAAGAATTTGTTTCAAGGAATATTTTTTGTCCGTAAAAGTTCACACTTCATATGCTTTATATACTAGAATTGTAGTTGCAAAATGTTTTAATAGATGAATCAATATTCTTTGTTTTGAAATAATTTAATGATATTACAGTGAATCCCTAGAATTAATTGAAGTTTACTTTGCTGTGCTGAAATTTATTTTAATGAAGATCTGTTACAAATTTCAAAAATCTCTATGTTCAATACAACTAGAGCTATTCCAAATGAGAAACTGTTTACTAACATTTAATAAAAAGTTTTGTAATTGCACATTAAAGTACTATTGAAAACATCAGAAGAAACCATTATGATTAAGTTTGACACAATCACAAAATATATAATACTTCTGGTACATAAAACCAGATTGTTGCTTTGAGCTGTGTGGTTTTGTAATTATCAAAAAAAGTCACACATACCTCTTTTTCATTTACTATTATCTGAAATGGTTACTATCAGCTACAGAATTTGACAGCAGATAAATAGAAGTTCTTGTGCATGCCAATACAATTCCCATATGCCATGAATTTTTTGAATTTATAATATATATTATGCCATTTGGAAGGGACTATTTTGAAGACAATGAAAATGTACGGTAATTTGGTATTATCATAAATGTTATTTGGAGCCAGCTCTTACTCAATTACTTACACACCAAGTTGGGTTTTTTTGAAATATTTAGAATTACCAATATAAATCATTTCTATAAATGGCCAATGCAATTTTAAATAATGCTTTATAGGATAAATTCCTTAGCATTTTAATTACTTTTAGTAAACAACCTGAAAAATTCACAAATTCAAAAGTAAGAATTTAAAACTTACTTTAACTTTGTGTTGTGAATTTCTAATATAACAAATTTCTTCCAAATTTCTAATGCATCTAAAATTCATTTTATTTTCGAACCACGTTCATTTTATTTATTAAGACTTATCATTGCAGTTTTTTAAAGACAATCAATAGCAAAACAGTACACCTTTTCACAATAAAACCAAATAAAATAAATACAAATGATGTTAGGTTAGGTAGATTACACATAATATTAACAATTGCAAATAAATTCAACTACCTGTATAAAAAAAAATTCAAGTTATAAATTTTTTATTTACTAGATTTACAGTGACATGCATATTGTTATATAAAATATTCAAAATAATAATTCAATAAGTGTTGTATTGTTTATTTATTTATTTATTTTGCGTTATTTTTAAATATTTATAAAAACAGTACAAATCATATTTTATGAACAGAGGAAATACTATGTGCACATGTTCTCTTCAACTCTGGAATACCTGCTCACTCTCTTTTAAACACAGAGTTGAATTTTGAATAAAGGTAGAACAAGCATTGTTGGTAGTAACATCAAGAAAAGTTTACCCCATCAACAAACCTGCATCAACCTATAAGCCACAAATTTGATTTGATGATACTTCTGATTTAATTACTAACCTCCTACTCCATTTCTTGCAAAATGAGATCTCAAGAGGAACGCTCATGTAGGTATTGAATTTACATGTATAAACTATTGCTTGATAAGTATTCATTTACAATTTAATAATTATTATCATTTAGAGACTTACTCACTTACCTACTCTGTATGTATCAGATTCTTTTATTCTACTCATCTGCCTCTAAAAGACATACAATTAATTTATTTTACACACAAATGTATGACACAAAATTATTACAATTACTTTTGTGTCATAAACTCTAACTGTTAAATTTTCTCTTAACAGATGTGAGCCTGGGTATTTTGGCAATCCTGCTGAACCTGGAGGTGCTTGTAAACCTTGTGCGTGTGGAGGAGGTCCATGTGATTCTCTGACTGGGCGCTGCTTGAAATGTCCCGGAAACACTGAAGGTTGGCGATGTGAGAGATGTCTTCCTGCACATTATGGGGATCCAGCAGCAGCTGCATGTCTGCGTAAGTTCTTTCATTAAGTAAAGGAATTCAAAATGGAGAAGTTTCTAAATAGAGTATTCGACATTTGATGGATTAAAATATTTGAATTTGAAGGAATAAAACAAAAAATACTGTAGGAAAAGATTTAATATGTATTCTAGTAACAGTGAAAAAGTATGTGTAATTAGTAAAGTAATTTAAAAATATTTGCTGTAACGATATTTGAGAATTAATGAAAAGAATATTAAAAAGCATTCAATCAATATCTGAATAACATCATTGTCTCAGTGCTCAGCATTCACATCTCCCAATTTGTGTACTTAGGCTTTAATATTGAATGGTAATTAAAGTTCAAAAACACTTTCTTGTGAAACAAAAAGAACTGCAAGACAGAAATGGTGTATTAGTTTCATGGTATTTAGTAATGCATCAATATATGAAACTATTGTGCAAGACATTAACACATTTTTCAACACACTATATGTTGTTACACCCTTATTTTTTCCCTTTATTTTTAATATCTGTTTAAAAAGTTATTAGTTGTTGGAAATTTAAAAAAAAATTGGGATGCATGAGTCTGATTTATTTAACTAACAAGCCTTTATAACTAGACATGCTCTTAAATGTTTCTGACTTACGATGTCAAATTAAAGTCCTTGGTGATGCTCCCCCAATCTCCATTAAAATAATTAATATTATGCTATATTTACTTAATATACAATTTCATCATTCACATTTGTCCTGTATTATTTACCTAGAACTCTTGTATTATTACTATTCTTGAAATATCTCTCATTAATATTTTATTATTTTCAAACATTCATGTTTGTCAATACGTTTGAGAGCTTCTCAGTTTTGTGTGTGTATTAATTGGGTCATATTCTAAACACATATTTAATTAAATAACTTTCTTTTAACCAATAATTCAATAATTTTATTCCATTTAAAAAATATGTGTTTGGCATATGAATTAATTATTTATTTTGTATAATTTCTGTAGTTTTTCCTTTTGTATCTTTCAGCATGTGACTGTCATCCTGCTGGGTCAGTTACTGTCAAAAGTTGTGATCTGGAAACAGGGCAGTGCCAATGTCGCCCTCAGTTCAGTGGGCGCATGTGCAATCAGTGCAAGGTAGGCATTACCAAAGTGAAAATATTAAACATTTTAATAAACCAACATTATCATGAAATAATTAATGGATGTAAAACTGAAAAATAGTTTTGGTCATGTATGATACACAAGTACAAAATAAAAAATTAGTTTAAAAGAAAAATATATTTTTAATTATTAAATTACTAAATTTTCCTAAATTTTAAAAAAAGAATAAACTAAAATACTAAATTTTTAAATTACAAAAAAAAATATATTGTTCCTCAATGATTTATCTTTATTATCTGATTCCTTTCAATGTCTTCTTTTATATAAAGTAAGAATTAATAATAACAATAATAAGGGGTCATCCATAAATTACGTAATGCAAATTTGGAGTATTTTGAATACTTCCTCTCCTCCCAGTAATGCACCCGTAATGTGTGCTTGCCCTGCCCTAATTAATTAGGTAATGCTTTCCACAACACCCCAAATCCCCTTGCAAATTAAAGAACTGAAAATCAATTGTAGCACATCAAAAACAATTTGTATTGGTTTTATGTGTTGTATATTAGAATTTACGACAATTTTAGTCAAAATTTGTAAGTGATGCTTACTGCACAGAACAATCAGAGTAGGGGCAAGTTGTGAATGAAGGAAGAAAGCATTAGCGAGAACATTTCTGGTCGTTAGTTGTGCACACACCATCGTGGATGATGAAGGGACGAGAGTTCTGTTCTATTTTATTTATCATACTACATATCAGTGTTGAATATTTTCTGCATAGTCTTGTAGGTTCAGTTAAAAACACATGAAAAATATGTCCATTTATTGTAACAATTTACATTTATAACCCTTAATATATTTTTGTTTTAAAAACTTAAATTGTAATTAGTTTTTAAAAATTAAATAGTTAATATTTTAAAGTTTTCGTAAATAACCCATTAAAGGAATTATTTCAGCAAGTGTTGAAAAATATAAAAAAAATAATTATCAATGTTACATAACAATAAACTAAACTAATACCTTTTTCCCCTGTGTAACACTGCCGCAAACCCCCTGCCCTCCTCCTTAGCATTACATAATGTATTTATGACCCCTAAATCTTATTTTGTTAGTGAAACAGAAGAAATTCTAAAATGGCTCATAATTAGTAAGTTTCTGATTCCTTCTGATCTTGAACATTTAGGCCAGACTTAATAATTACTTGATTATATGTGTCACAGAGTTGACTTCAGACAGCTGTCAAGCAATTTCTCTGCTAGTCTGTTTCTTAAAGTCACATTAAAGAAATAGTGATAATTTGTAATATAGATAGATGTGTAAATGCAAAAATAAAATAATTCCTGTGCTTTTTAGCCTGGATATGGAAACATATCAGCTGGCTGCCCACCTTGCAGTTGTGACAGTGTGGGTGCTGCCACCAAGGTGTGTGATCCAGATACAGGGCAGTGTTCGTGCCAACCAGGAGTCACTGGGGTTCATTGCAATCTGTGTCAGCCTCAGCACTTCGGATTTTCATCCACTGGCTGTGAGGGTAAGTACATTTTTATTTATACAATATTTGAGCATTTATTTTACAGATATATTGCTCCATCAGCATGTTCTCTTAGAACTGATGATAATCTTGCAAGATGGGTATAAAGAGTTAGATACCTACAGGTAGGTTTTCGAAATCTGTTGGTATGTGAGAGTGATTTCCGTAAGAACCAGTTACAGAGTGTATTCAATGAACTTGACTTTTTGTACCTATATTTGTGAGCACTATTTTGACTGTTATGTTAGTTAAATTTTTAAAGCCTGTGGCATTAATTGCACTAATAAATTATATATTTTAAGTGTTGAATATGTTTCTTTTGAAGAGAATTAAGAAATAAATTGAAAATTGTCATGATTTTTCAATTACTTTATTAATATATAAATACACAAACACACAAACACACACACACACACACACACACACACACACACACACACGCACACGCACTCACTCACTCACACACACACACACACACGCACACGCACTCACTCACTCACTCACACACACACACACACACACACACACACACACACACACACACACACACCTCCTATAGAAAAATTCCACCTACACGGACACCTTAGTCTATGGCTAGACTCCTTCCAGTCCACCAAACGAGACAATTGACGTTTCATTCACAGTTTTTCGGTCACCTGGAGGGGAAATGCTTCTTGATTCATCCTGAAAGTTCTAAGTGTTTCTCCAAAATATACACGTTTGTTTTATTTTTTAAGTAACTAAAATGCGTTTTGGGTGAATTGCGCCACCTGCTGAGGTGACACGTTCATTCATTTTCGCTAGTCAAGAAAAATCGATTTTCGTAATTCTTACTTAGCCGAATGCCTTTAGGATATTCTGGAAGAATTGTAGTAAAAACGCTGTTTTAAATGTTTTCACTGCACATACGAGAGCATTGGTGAAACGTTATGAACTACTACACTTTCATTCCCACATTTACACATGAATCGTTACATCTTGATTCATCAGAATGACGATAATTAAACCCTTATTTGTAACGAATTATTGCAAAAACGTGTTGGGAGCGGGGTAAGTATATAAGCATCGTAAGCACATAAAAAACACGTTTTGAGAGCGTTGTAAAGCCACCTAAGGTGGTGATGAGTGATGACGTTTGATTGCTCTCGTCTTGACATACGAATCGATGGGCTTTTTTTCTTGCCGGATTATTTTTCCACAACATTTTGGAAGAATTCTGGAAAACGACAAACAAACCAACAACAAACATGTTTGAAGTCACGTTCAGAGGTGAAACGCTGAGGTTTACAATACTGACATTCCGACTCAACGTGAATCTTTACAATATGATGTTTGTTGTTGTTAATGTTGGTGAATGTTAAACATAGAAATGTAGAAATCACGATTTTTTAAAAGAAGTTTCATCGATCCTTTTATGTAACTTTTGGAGGCACTGGCGGATCCTTGGGGGGGGGGGGGTCATGGCCAAGAGTTTTCGTTTTTCTTCCTTTTCTTAGAAAAATTGATTTAAATATTTATTTATGTTCTAATTATGTAATTATTTAAACAATAATATTGTAGAGTATCATATCTACAGAACATAAATAATATACAATATAATAACAAATATGTTTATTTAACAAAAATCTACGATGGCCTTCTCCAAAATGATCGGCTGGATCCGTCCCTGTTTGGAGGATAGACGAGCCACGCAATTTTTATTTTAAATGTTTGTTTAATATGAACTTCCATGACACAAATAAAAAGTATAAACATGAAAGTACCGCCAAGCTCGTAGGCTAGTAAGAGATACGACACGTGATCGAAGTTGAGCATAGAAATAGTATGTGGGCTGAATCTTTTCAATCTCGTCGACAGAGCGCTCTCTCGTGTACAAGTGGTCTCGCCTCGAGATGTTCAACGCCATCCTCTGCCGACAGAGAGCGCGCCTTCCTCGGTTCTGCCTGGTGCTTCTTACGAAGGTGAAGTTAATCGACCTGCTCTAGACGTCAGTCCTCAGAACGATGCTTTATATGGAGGCAGGAGATGTACTCAAACAGATACCACGATTTATTTCCTGTTTGCGAGTTCGCTTTATTTATTTTGCAACCTTTTTACGAACTCGTAGTTTCTTGGAATTTCTTGATTAGTGAAGGAAGAGTTTTTGATAGGATAATTCATTTGCAAAGTTCATTACTAATTTTAAACAATATCGTGATTATTAAGAAGTTACTCTCATACTTGTGCTAGAAAGCATTTACTTAATTTAACGATAAATACCTTCAGTTGCCTAATTAAAACAAAAATTAGATTTTATACTTCGCTACGTGTTGAACTTTAAAGTGAATTGTTGTTATTTTATTCTTATTTCCATTATATAACCATAGAATGAAAGAAAGGAAACCATTGTACAAGGCGTGTTTTCCTTCTTCGATTTGCGGAGATGAAAAGGAGCCGCAGAGCCTGTGAAGATGAAAGGAATAATAAGAAAAATACAAAAAAGTGTTTGCTTCATAACTCTGAAGTATTGTGATATAACAATTTACAGTTCGTAAGACGTTTGTTATTAAAAAAAGAGGCAAATAAATTTGAATAGTGACTTTGTTGTTGCGCATTACTGTGACGAAATATGAAAATAATATTATCATCATCACTTTAAATAATGGTGTGTCTAGAACATAAATTTTGTAACATACCAACACACTATGATAGCACAATTATAAATAAGAGGCTAAGTGCAGCAAATTGTTTACAACAATCTTGATCAGAATTATGACGCAAATTATTTTCATTTTTCTTTTTCAATATTCAATCTTTAAAGTTTGTTAGTGACAGTTTGCATCTTGGAGATTTATTTCATCTTGTACCATTTCGTATGTGGAACTGAGTACTTAAAAAGTGAAAGTTGATCGTTCATCCCCGCACATCCTGCAACTTTCGGTATAGTCATTATGGCTCAATACTGTCTTTTAAACAACTCGAAGAGTTACTTGAATTCGGTGAAATCGATAAAACCAAATCTCGAAAATCGAAAGAAGCAATTCAGGGCGTATTTCTTACACGTACTATGAATTTCGCAGAATACATCTCAATTCCGAGATACTGCAATATCTAAGAAGTTAGGCAATATTTTCAGTTTGTCTCGACGTGTTTGGTAACGAATAAATAATTCTAAAGTATTCATTTGTGGTCAGTCATTGGATTTCTTGGTAAAGTGGCGGCTGCATTCGTAACTTTGATCTATAGAAGCGCGGTTTTAAGTGGGGCGTGTAGTGAGGCGATTCTTTTCAATGGGCCCATTCAGAGAGAGGCCTCCCCCATGCGACATCATTCCGGGCCATTTATCGGTTTGCGTCTTAGGCGGTTGCCAATCGTTGACCTCTGCAAGCATACTTAACCCGAAGCAGATGGAGTCAGCCGGATGTGGAAGGAGTCGTTTCTAATACCCTCACGTCCGTGGCCGATGTATGGGACTGAAAACTACGTACTTCTGCAGTTGCAACAGAATTACGAAAACTTAATACCAATAGTGTACTATTAAATGAAACAGTGTACTAAAGAAATAAAATAATGAACCTACAATAGTATACTAAGTATTTTTTCGCAGAAAAACGTGATTTTGAAATACTTTTCGTGTCTGTTCTATAAAAACGCCTTCAATTAAGATGCTTATTTCTTTCTAGTGTTTGTACTCTTTTCAATTATTCATCCCATGGCACTCCTCTCATTTTGTGTTGTTAATAAAAGCTTCGTTTTGGTGTGCTTCGGTAAACTTTAATCCCTTTTACTATTCCGTGTTGTAATTATGGCATTTTTATTAGATGATTAGTTTCGACTCTAGTTGGGCCTTGGCAAACATTTCGAACTTCGTAAATCATGGTTTTGAAAAAGAAAATGGCATCTCAGGCGGTTTTAGAGAATGGGCCATGTTAAAATTACTCTACGTGATATTCAGTGATGTGATGCTTTGTTCAGTATCGTTTAGAGTTAAAGGTCCAAAAATGACTGAAATTTTCGCAGTAATCAAATGAATAATAAATTCTCGCCAATACGTAAAAAACATGCGAATAACAAATTATTTTATTCCTTTGATGTGTAGAATGGTCGCATCGAGAAACTTATATTATTTGCCCTAAAATAATAAATCCTACCAGTGAAGTCACGTCATTCATATTTCTTTCAAATTACGCATTTCAGTTTTCGGATTTTTGTTTTCAAAGATAGTTAAACAATAGCTGAGATGTGTTTGTACTTGTTGCTCTATACAGAAATGAAATATTCTATGTGAAATAGTGTATCTCATTCAGGAGGCGGAGGTCATTGTGAACTACCGTCAAAGGACTGAAACCAAAAGAAAGAACTTTTGAATTACAACTTTTTACGTCGTTTATTATTAGTATTTGAAATTAAACAATTCTAAATATATTCAATGTATTTCATAATGTAAATAAATTCTGTAAATATTAAAAAAATGCTATGGGGGAAGGGTATCGGCCGCTATGTTTGCAAAATTGTGCCATGGGAGGAATAATTGATAAAAGCATGCACACTCGAAAAACAAGTGCATCATTTGAAGATGTTTTGATAGGAAGGACACAAAAAGTAGCATTTTGTCGAGAAAAAAAACTTTTATACACCGTTTAGTTAAATATTAAAATATTGATTTTAAGTTTCATAATATTCTGGAAATTGTTAAAAAAACTAATGATATAATATTTTGTGCATTATTAAAATGGTGATTCATAGCATGGGGACTAGAAGGTTTTGTCACAAAATTGTGCGGCAGGAAGTCAAACAATTACAACTTTTATGTATTTATTGGTTGAACAACCCCATACGAATTTCTAAAGATTTTTCCTCGTTCATTTTTTTACTTAAACATTCTATTCTTTGACACCGAGGTTATCTGATAAGTTCTCATGATCCCCAAACGTAAACCTTGGATGCGGAAATAAGCTTATGAAACTGCTAAACCACTTGATTAACATTAATAAGAAAGTTACCACACATTCCAAAATTAAAGTTGACTACTTACTAATTAAATGCGCCTTGAAGATACCAATTGGCTATGGAAATTACTTAAGAACTCATTAAGAATAGATTCGAGAATTAAACTGTGAAGACTCCTCACTCACCTATTGACAGTAATTATGTCATATTACTAAACGTATTTCAGCTTTACGCACAGTTGAAGTTCGCTGCCTTCTCTCGAAAACAGCAACGATTCTGCTGCATTGTTCTAGCTTAAAGTTCTGACAAGGAACAAGTAAAACAAAGGTACATTTTGCTTCTCTTGACATTAGTAGATTGCTCCTCGAACTCTAAGCTGGATGAGTGATATTTCTGAAGCCCGCTGTTGATGTCGTCATAAGTCATAAGTTTCAATTTGAGATTCCGGAACTGTCAGAGCAGATAACTTCTGGAGGAAGCTACATCGGATTTTTCTTTTCGACGCAAGTGCCCGTGGGTGACAGAAGACTTCTCACTCCCGAGCAATCTCTTTCCTCTTTTCTTCGCAGTTCCTTTAAGACGAATTTCTCCAGTGTCGGCTTCCATTCGTTATTCTGAGGCCTACGACCTACATTCATTCATGCCAGTGAAATGAGTATCGCCTTGCACATCCTGTTGCCGTCACTTCCGGAGAGTCTTTTCCTCCCTGCGTATTTCTTCGCAAATCTCTCAGTACTGTTCATGATTTGGGACATCGTCAACTATGCGTAATAAATTGTTGCAAGTCGAAAGCTCATCAAAATTTCGAACGCATGAGCGCATTCAGTAAGGAGTTTCAGCTGTTAAGTCTGACCAATGAGAAATAATTATTAAAATTTCACAAGAAAAGGTATCAAATGTGTTTCGATATGTCTTTCTTCTATTCATTTCTTTAAAATAAATGAAATGTAATTTCGTGTGATGTTATGTTCTTGAAATAATATTCTAATTCTAATATTCTAATATTCTAATACGCGCTCATATATTTTCTTATGAATTCCTAAGTTTTCTATCAAATACCTGGTTGCTTTAGAACTTCGAAAAATTAAATATAAATGTTAATTACAGAAAAGCCGGAATGTCGAAGAATATTTTTTGTGTTCTACATTACTGGAAGCGATATTCTTTCACATTTATCTTAATTGCTGTAAAATCAAAATTTTCATTTGTATGAAATTGGGTACAGATTTTTCTTTGATTAACTTAAGCATAACAGCATGATTATCATTTTCTAATATGTTATAATTGAAACACGGATATTTTTGGAGATAAAAATTAAGTATGGATTAGAACCTAAACGTTCCTAAATAATATACGTGCTCATTCACTTTTTCATTTAAATATCGTGAACAAAAAGGGTTCATATTTTGTGGCAATTGAGTTACGACACAACCACAACATATTTTCAATTTTTTAGACGTACAATTTTCATTGCTAGTAGTTTTTAGACTCATGTTTTAAAAATAGAGAGAAAGACTCGAGATTAGACCACAGCGTGAACTACGGATGTATTAATCGTTTCGTACGAAGACAGTTGAGTGTTCCATAAGATGTAAGCGAAGGTGTAAAAACGTCTAGGTAGGTGGCGAAGGACAAATAGCCAACAATCGTTAATCATTTTGATTGTTGTTTGAAGAGAATAAGGAATTAGTATTAGATGGAATAGAATATAACATGTACCCAATATTTCACACTTTGAGATCGTCTTGAGAAAGATTTTAAACATTTACCCTCTCTTGTAATAACTGCTTCTCCGTTTCAAAAAAAGAGAGAGAAAAACAACTTTCTAGAAAACAAAAAAATCTTGACTCACCTGCAGGGCTAGGATTCAAAGAATGTCCTACCGCAGCATATACCGTTTGTCCTTTTGGAGAACGAGTACCTTAATGTGAAAGGAAAATTCGTTTAGGGTTATTCTTCAACCAATGACCCGTTTCTGTGTTCACCAGCGGTACGGGAAAGAAAGACCAAACGGGAGAAACAAATTAAAGATGGATTGCCATGAAACGCATTTATG